ATACCGCCAACAAATGAATCCTTGCCATTGTTCAAACACTGATACTGTGGTCTTTCGCAAATGCTAGAAATCGTGCGGATTATCCTCTCCACTTGGATAATAAAGAACTTTTTAGGTAACTCAAGGCAGCGCAGGAAACATCCGTTATGAATCGGCTTCACTTTTGGTTACGAAGCGACAACAAATACATGGTTCATTGGATTTTCGAAAGTAAGCCAGTTGCTCACAACGTGACTCAGTTAATTGTCATAGTAACCGTTTGTCAAATACCGCATGATGGAAATGCCCTTAAGCTAAAAGATTCTCAACTAAAAATTCTGATTTCGAATCTGTTCATTGGCGCACCCAGGCTAGGTTAGTTGATTGAACGCATATATATAGAATAGGTGCCCGGTTACACACACCATGATAAAAGCCATTTCTCACAGTAAAAAAGGCCGCGGTAAACTTAACGTGCGTTTAGTTTACAGTTGTAACATGTGGTTACACATGAATTAATCACCAAGGTGAATTGGCCGCTTGTACGGCTTCATTTGCGCTGTTGTGACCCTATTTTGGTAATAATCGCGGGCGATCATTGAGGATGTCATGTTCTGTCGAAAATTTACGTATATAGTACGTACAATTTCATCTGCTATGTTAGTCCTCATACCTTTTAGAAGGTATGTACCATTTTTTTTAAATCTACAGATTCCATTTTAAGCTCAGCCCATCTGGAATATCTGTCAGGAATAGTTCATATTTTTGGTAAGTATCGTCTCCAAACTTTCTAAAGATTTCTATAAAAAACTTAATTTAGAAATTTGGCTGTAGTCATTTTGATAAGTACGCTAGAACCCTTTGCTTGCAGAGAAGCAAAGGGATAATGTAACAGTTTCTCAAGCACGTACACAGATTTGGAGAGAAGGAAGCCACTGGCTGTGGAAGTCTTTCCAATGCACTTCCTTAGCCCTTGTCCTCTGTTTGATCTCTCCCATAATTCATCATAGAAATGCTAGACCCCACTTAATGCTACAGTCCCTCGGTAGTGTCCTCTTCTTCAAAATGGCAGTCCAAAAAGAAGGTACCTCATTGTTTTAAAAAAAGGGTGATTAAAATGTTCTTTTTGAAAATTAATCTATTTCTCTGATATGGCTCACTATACATGTATTTCATTGCTATCCACCATTTGTTGAATCGAATGCAATGTTTTTACTTTGGTAACAAGTCTAAAACCAAAAACTTGCATTTACATAAAAAGACAACAACTTACTTTTCACGCGTGAGTTCTAGGGTCGAGTTGTTCAAATTTTGGATGGCACTTTCCACCAGATCACTACGTATACGAAGTTGTCTAAAAAAGTATTGAAATTTTATGCGATCGAAAGTCTTGTTGTTCTATTAAAAAAGGTTGCTGTTAAGGTTTAAATATTTAGACCACGAAAATAAAAAGTGAGTTTGGGAGCCTTTTTCTTTAATGTAATTCATATTTCTAAAAGCCTTTGGATATTTAGTTCTTTTCGCCTAGAAGATAAGAGCTAAAAACTCAACTGTATTAAACGCTCGATGAAAGCACGGTCAAGACTCGATAAAGGCTCTATGAAGGCCGCCTATCTATACACGATCAATGGAATTCAGGCTCGATGCACGTTTATCGGCTTCTTGTGAACGATTATCTCATTCAAGCACGATGCGGGATAGCAAAGTTTGATCTAATTTGTTACAGGCTGTGATCACCAACATCGCGCGCACTTAACCTGAGGTTTTCTTTGCGGGAATTTGTAACGGACATTTTCCCTTGCATGAAGTTTTTGGTTTTTCAGCCCCCCTTCACTTTTCTTTCCTTCCCCCCCATCGCGTCTTTTGACGATGAATATTTGTCTCTCAGTATATTGCTATGGCAACTTTGTCCTTTGTACAATGTAGGCAATGATGTGGTCAATATAATGGTGTCATCAGCAACTTAAAGAACTATCATTAAATCTAGATAAACGTTTCATGTCCGGTATTTTTGCCTCTGTAAAGACTGAAAGTGCGCGAGATTTCGAAAAAAAGAGAAATAGAATTACAAAATCTCGTTTTAACTGTTTGCATTGTGAGGAAATCCAGCATCACTTGTATTAATTGGCTGATTTTTTTTCATTTTGGATTTATCACTACAGTTATTTTCTTAATACCTATACCAAGGCTACGGAATTATATTGATTTATTATTTAATAAAAAAATGCGTTTTCTGATATTTCCGTCCGAAGTCATTAAATATTCAGTGTCTGAAATGCTCAACACTCGAGTAAATATAAGTATATTAAACAAACCATTGAGGTAAGTACCACGTCTAAAATGATGAATTAATTGTGTATTGAAAACAAATAGTAAGCTGGCCATAGTTCCTTTAATTGCCTGATCTGTTTAGTTCATTCAGTTATTCTCTCAATTGGGTGAGACACGGTCGCGTCATCCCCTGACGAAATTTGTCTTTTCTTAAGTTTTAAGTCCGATTTGCAGCGTGCAGCGAGGTTCTCTTGCTGTGGCAGCTGATTGGACAGATCACAAAAACTCTCTTTACCATAGATGTAAGCAAATGTTTCGAAAAGAAGAAAAATCAAAAAGGCGAACGACCAAATTACACCTACCATATATGATAATTGCTTGTACAAGCTGTATTAGGATCAATACCGCCAACAAATGAATCCTTGCCATTGTTCAAACACTGATACTGTGGCCGTTCGCAAATGCTAGAAATCTTGCGGATTACCCACCTCACTTAGATAATAAAGAACTCTCTAGGTTGAATCGGCTTCACATTTGGTTACGAAGCGACAACAAATGCATGGTTCATTGAATTTTCTAGGTTACGCCAGTTGCCCACGTCATTTCATTGTCATAGTAACCCCTTGTAAAATACTGCATGATGAAATGCCCCTCAGCAAAATGATTCTCAATAGATCGTTTTCAGTCACGTGGTCAGCATCTTTGCAAATTGCTTGGAATAAAAGAAAGTTTTAACATGTTAAAAAGAGTTCAATTCCCACAGTATTTTTTAAGTACGCAAACATGGCCGCCGTGACGTCATGTGAAAACAATCTATTAGAAATTTTGATCTCAAATCTGTTCATTGACACAGCCAGGTTAGGTTAATTGATTGAACGCATATATATATATATTGAACAGGTGACCGGTTACACACCATGGTAAAAGGCATTCACCACAGTAAAAAAGGCCGCGGTGAACTTAAATTGGGTTTACCTTATTACATGAAATTTTCGCGTATTTCGCAATACAAAAAAAATCGCGAAATTAAAGTGACGCGAACAATAAGTGTCGCGAACACTACAGGACGCGAAAATTAGTGACTCACCTTTGTCCGTAATCAAGAAAGAACGAGTTTCTTACCACTGAAACGTTTCAAAATCATATTTTTACTTTTCTGAGGAATTTTCAGTGTAAATGGATGTTCTGGTTAATTCACTCAAATAATTCACGTACAAGCATGAACTGCTGGAGAGAACGGCTTTGTTGTTACTCTTTGACATTATTTAGTCCCGCTGTTGCGTTTTTCTTAATACTGATGGTATTATTTGTTCCTTTGATAAAGTCATTTTATTTAACTAATTCAAAGACATGTTAAATAACATTGGCTTTGAAATGAAAATTGTTGTTCTCAAAAACGCGAAAAGAGAGTGATTCAAAATATAAAATTTCTCATGATCGCGACATTTAAGTGTCGCGAAATATGCGCACAAAAAAATCTCAATCAAAATACAAATGCAATTAAATTTAAAATGCAAAGTTAACTCCATTCAGATTAAAATTGACTGCACTTTAAAAGAGAATGCAAAACAGAATATAAGTAGAAGTCAAAGTCAATTAAAATTCAATGAATTTTGAAAAGAGAATGGAAAACGAAGTTAGTGGCAGTGCTTGGCCATGCGAAGATTTACTTTCGTTTGAAGTAAAATTGAAAGTAAATTATTCGCATTTTAGTGGCATTTTCCCCTGAAAATTAATTTTTCCGACAAAAGAAAATAGAAATTAACTTTTTTCAGGAGCCGATGCCCCATGAGCTCCTGCTTTTTTAAAGAAAATGAAGACTAAAACTCAAAATTCACAAAAAAACCTAGTAGAGCTGTTTTTTGGCTATATTTATGAACTTGTACACGTTCTCGTTGTTACTTGCAACACTTGCGCGTTTTTGTAAGTGTAAAACTTTGAAATTAATTTAAAAAACCGTTTGTATAATGAGCGTCATCCGAGCATTTTAGTGACTTTTTGGGGGGGAGACCGAACATTTTAGTGGGAAAAATGGAGCATTAAGGTGGAGCATTTTAGTGAGGAAGCAAAAGCATAATGTACAAAAGCCTAATTTCGATTATCTTTACGAGACAAGAGTGATGGCTGCAATGCTGAGGGTAGACAGGGGCACAGAAACTGGGGTAATGGCTACATTGCATTCCTTCTTACGAAGACATCATGGTGACTTGGACCCAAGTGACTCTGTTGTTTATGGACCTTCAACTGAAAACCAGGTAGCTTAGTTACTATACAAGTTCTTACAATATACATGGAGCCATTTTTAACGTTTAGCTTTGAAATGAGTTCTTGTGAGGGGGCGAAAATTTTGCTCAGTCCGTTGATAATGCTATCCTGTTGGGGTAGAGAGGGGAGGGATTATCATCTACTATACTGCTTATAATTCTAGAGGAGACGACAGATGCTAAGTCATTACAATGCCATTTCAGGTATAGATTGCATGCACAGATTATAAGGCCTGGTTTATGCAAAAAAGGTCGTTTTTGAATTGCTATTTTGGAAACTATTTAAAGCTGTAATAAAGTGAATTATAGTTTATTATCGTTTGTCTCACAGTGCACAGTGTAGTCACTTGAAGGAAGTAGAACGTAACGTTTCCACTGTAAAAATTGTAAAACACGGTTGCACCACACGGTGGCTTCTGTAGTTATGCAGTCTTCAGAGCCATGTTGTAATATATTAACTAAATTCTCAGGTTATTGCTGGGAACATTCCATGCCAACATAATTGTGTTCACCTCTCACCTTGTTTGTAATTCAATCCTAGATTGAGGGATGGTGGAGAGAGCTACACGAGCGCATGGAGAAATACTATAAAGGTCATTTGTGTTGGCTCAAGGACCAAGGCCATTATCATTCACATGATGACAAAGACAGGTTGATTCACTATGCATTTCCTCAGTGTATCATTCACAGTGAAACCTGTATAAAGGGAACCTTATTAAGCGAGCACCCTGTGTTAAGCGGACACTGGAGCATTCCCCGAAGGTGTCCGCTTAATACAGGTTACACTGTGTTTATACACCTTGGAGATTGGGCTCCATGTAACCTCCCTACCTTTTTCCTGGCGTCTCTTCTCTCTCACTCCAGGAGGGTGGGAAGATTAGAGACCCTGGTAATGAGGTTGCTAACTTCCTGTGCTTTTTGTACCTGGTAACTGTCAATGCAACTCAATATTATGATTGAACTAAAAAAAGAATTATAAAAAACAAGCCAGTTCTAATGCATGTAAATTAGGTTTTGTCTCTGGAAAGCCAAGGTTCAGTGTCAAGACATATGGAATATTATTTGTGGCGTGAATGGTTGGGAGATGTTATGTTTTTTTTTTCAATTAGCCAGACATAAAACAACCAGGGTTGTAACTCTGCGACATTTTAATTCTGTTGTGTTCCTCTCCAATCGTATAGGATGCTCCTGGCGTTCATCATGATACCGCTAATACAGAAAGATCTAGATGTCTTTAGAGAGTCGGTTTGGCACACTCATAGGATACGTGCACAGAAGGACACGATTCTTCCAGATGGCATTCCAAACCACATGTATAGTTTCCCTGAACAGTATGGCCTGGAAGAATGTGGTTTGTTTGGAACACCTGATACCATTTCAGACTTGGCATTTTTCTCGTTTTGGTAATTTTCTCTTTGACTTTTCATTTGCATTACATTACAGGTCTCCCAGTTACAGAGGAACAGCTCAAGGAGGCAGCTACTCAGTCTGGAGTGCTGACTGTTCCTGATGATTTTCTGCAGCCTGAATTTAGAGCAGAATGCGAACGTGTCTTACCAGATAGTGAAACGATTAGACCCCATGAATGCAGGGATGCATACATTTACTTAAAAAATAACTTCCAGCTGTGATTGTCTGTATTGTAGGCACTAGTGGTCCTTAGGTTGCACTAAGCTTGTGATGGGGCAGCTGGGGGATGCTCCTTCTAGTCAATTAAGTTACATAGTGTGCATAAGTTCAAGATAGATGTGACAAAAATTATTTCTGGTAAAGAAAACAATCTCTGAAACATTTTTTGTACATTGTTTTTTTTTATTGACTAACAACAACTGAAAATATTATGTCATATAACGTTTCAATCATTAAACTTTATAATGTTTCACTTTTATTAATTTCTTGTAACATGGAATCAGCAAAAACGAAATTCCATAGTGGTGAAAGACCCACATTTAGGACTATTGGTACTTTCTAGAACTGTAACACTATAAAAGTAACACGTTTATATTCATAATATGAAGTTGGAACAAGTAAATTTTGTATATTATAATTAATTGTAATTATTGATGAACTATGACAATAATGTGAACACTTCTTCAAGTTTGCCATCGGAATTAACCAGTGAAAACAAAAGTTTGAGTTGCAGAGTGATGGTTACAGCTTACATCTAACGGCAAATATGTCTACTCCATGCTGTCCTACAAAGGACAAACACAACAGCATTCCTCATTAAAAAACAACAGTATACACAGAAAAGGGGGAGGGGTGTGGGTAGCTTATGTGGTAAACATATAGCACATGTAAAAACAGCAAAACATATCAGAAATTAACTAACTTGGTCTAAGTTTCAGCTTTAGAAGCTTGCAGTCGGAGTTGCACTGATGAACCTCAAAAAATGACTCAATTGCTCTTCCAGCCAAGTTGCCAGTACAGAACTGATAACCCCCATCCTCATTGTGTATCTCAGCTGAGGCTATTTCAGGATCGTACAAGGTATATCCTGACCCTTGGATGTCTAAAACCATAACTTTGCCTTCTGATTTCTCATACGTAAAATGAGAAAACGCCTGTGCCTTCTTACATAGCATGGTATCTTCTTCACAGGCAATTCCATTGTTGTTTATAAACTTTGCAAAGTCTCCAGGGATGAACTCCTCAACTGTTAACAGCTCCCCGTCCTCTGTTTTCCCCATGTACACAGACTTGTATTCAAACGAATCTCCATATTCGTCAAGCTTGTCCTTTGCAATTGTTTCCTTCAGCTGCGATGCAAAGTTTCTTGCTAGATATTGCATCTGTACTGACTTTCTAGTATGTTCTTCTGTGGTCTGTCCTGTATCTTTAATCAGTTGAACAGCACTCTCCAGATAACTCTTAACAACCCATGTTCCTTTATTAAAGCCTTCTGTAATCCTTGTAGCTTTAAATGCCTTTCGGAAACCTCCAGCTACAAAATCTTTCTTTTCTATGACAAATTCAGCTTGGAGTGGCACTGATGACCATTCCATGTGAGCAAAGTCAAATTTGTAGATCAGGATTTTCTTGGCTTTGTTATCAACTACCCTTCAAGCTTGTATGTCCTTGATAGAAAGGCTCTTTGGGTAAAATTTACTCGTTGCAGGTGAAGGCTTCACTGGGCTTGGATGGGAGGCAGGCCTTTTCTGTGGAACTTCATATCTTGCTATCTTTTCCTGTGGACCAAGACAAAAAATATTGAACAAAAGGAAGAACTTGCAACCATGTTAAACTGCTATCTTGAACATTGATAAAACAAAAATTGATATAACATTTTGCCAGACTTTTAAGTTCCATAATTATCGACAATGGGGGGTGAGTATTTAATCAGGGGTTCCAGACAAACACAGAGAAACTGATGAAAGCACAAGGCTGAGGACCAAGTGCTCACTTTTGAAAAATAATTAGTATTAACTATTGGTATTGGGTATCAAGATCCGTCCACCTCACCTAAATAAATCTTATTGACTGCTGACCCAGGGGCAGATCTAGGGGGAGGGTGCAGGGGGTGAACACCCCCTCCCCCAATCCCCTGAGATGAAGCCTCTTCATATTCGCTTTTAAAATTTCTTTACATCACCAGTCAGTTACGCCATTTCTTATTGGTGTATCCCCTCCTAAGGAAAATCCTGGATCCGCCCCTGCGACCTTACGAATTATTAATGAGTTTAAGAGTGCTGATTTGTAACCTTGTAGTGGAATGTAGAAAACTATAGATTGTTATGAATCAGGGAACAAAAGTTTCCTAATTCTATCCTGGAAATTTCAATCCTCCTGGGACTTCATAGTATCAAATAGTACCAATAATCTAATGTGCTGGAAGCAACAGCTGGATGCAGATTTGGTTTAATTTTGCAATTAAAACGTTTTCTAAACTTTAATACAAACAGTGGCTTTGCAAAAAGACACTCCCCACGGATATTTCTATACACCACGAGTAAACCGGTGAGTAAACAAAACGCTTCCGCGAAGATTATTTTACTGTGACTAAAACCTCAACTACCTAAAATGTCCTTATCAGAATTCCTAGAAGAAAGGTCTTGAGTTAATAATCCAAATCCAAAGTGCAAATAAAACTCGTGATTCATTTTGATTATTACGGGTTTATTGTGCTATTACCTTGCATTCCAACGATCCATCCTCATCGGAAACGACCTCCACTCTTTCGCGTTTTATAAACCGTATATAGAACACTTTTCGGTTTGGAATATGGGCCATCTTTTCGCAAGATGGCCCACGCTCTCCAGCCAGTACGTCACAGATAAGATTTTTTTCGATCTGAGGCCTGAAGTGCTTCTTGCAGGCGTCTTTGATGTTCGCAATCGTTATCTTTTCGTGCTCAAAAGGCACGTATTCCTGGGGCCCTATCCTAGTGTATTTCTGCTGTTTGCCTGATACATCCGCACTCATTCTCTGCACTACTATTTCTTCCGCCACAGTGCTTTCCTCTCCTGTTTTCTTGCCTTTTCTCTTAGCCTTCTGAATGGCGGCATACCGCCTCCACTCCGCCATGTTGACGACTCACACAAAACGCGCGAATGGCTTTATGGGAGTCATTGGTTTGGAGGCCTGGGGCGGGTCTGGCAGTGGCAGCGCTCGGCCACGCGAATAATTTACTTTCAATTTTACTTCAAACGAAAGTAAATCTTCGCATGGCCAAGCACTGCCACTAACTTCGTTTTCCATTCTCTTTTCAAAATTTATTGAATTTTAATTGACTTTGACTTCTACTTATATTCCGTTTTGCATTCTCTTTTAAAGTGCAGTCAATTTTAATCTGAATGGAGTTAACTTTGCATTTTAACTTTAATTGCTTTTGTTTTTTGATTGAGATTTTACTTGCATTTTGTTTTACATTTTATTGAAATTTTATTTGATTTAATTGTTATTTTCATTTTGTTTTACATTCAATCTACTTATAATAAAGAAAAAAAAAGAAAAAATGTGCCGAAGACTCAGTGGCAGTTCTCGGCCACCATAAATTTCTACAAACATTTGCTTTACTTTTGGTTTCTCATTAATAAACTTCGATTTTTGGGCCAGATGTTTCTTGTTAGGAAACGCTCAGCGCACGAAACGGCCTACAATAACCTGAATTTCAGGCGATTACTTCGAGTCGTTTTTACTCCCTCAATTTTTGGTTTGCTCGTGACGTCACGGCAGCCCTGTTGGTGGTCAAGAACAAAACCTTCTCTGTCCTTAGGGAGCCACACTCTATTTTCATGTTAATTCTTCGAGAAAAAATTCTTTTTGTATTGAACCCCTTTATGGCCGCCTTGTCACGTGGTTGCAAACCAAGAATAACGTCTGAATCGACCGGCAGATAATGCCGTCCACTGACGTCACTACCCAATATTGATTGTCCAAAAATTTTTATAATGATGTATAATTATGAGAAATTTTAGCGGGACTCTTGTTTGAGATTAAGTGGATCGCAAGCCTTGCATGCTATAGGCCAATACCTGCAGTCCTGTCTATTTTCGATAAAACTTTTGAAAAGGCTATGTTTAAGCGCATTTATGGTTATCTTGAATCTTATAACATTATTTTTCCGCTTCAATTTGGCTACGTGAGTAAAATTACGGTTCTAACAGTAAAAAGGAACATTTTGATAACACAAACATAAAAAGTTGAATTGATAAAAATTGCCAATTAACGGTCAACAGTAAACTTTATCTAGACCGTTAATGCTTATGCGGTCTATTGGTTTCCCCTTAAACGATGGAGAATAAAAATCCCTCGGTAAGGATTTTCCATGTAAGTGGTAGCTGGATTTTCCTCCATATCCATTGGCCTTGACTTCTTTGTCTCTTTCTTCAGCTTGCATTCCTCAGTGTTCCACAGAATCGTTGTACTTTGACATTTTTCATCTAAGCTACGGACAAAGAAGCATCGACCGAAACTTTCAGCCGTCGAGCTTTTGTAGTCATGCCCAATTAAAGCCCACCCGAATTCTTCTCTGCCGGTGTCTTGACAGACATCGTTGCGAGGCTGATCGGCGAGAATTTCTGCCATGTGAAACATGAAGCCAAGCAGTGTACACCAAAAACCAGTCATTGCATCAGGGTGGTTTATCTTTCGTCTTTTCTAAATATGTGAGAACAAACCAATTTCCGAATTACAATGTCAGTACGTACAAAAACGACTTGTGTAACCTTTGCTCTTACACGGCCACCAAAATGCACATAGAGATTCTATCGTTTCTTCGTACAATCCGATATAAATCAAAGTAACTAGGTGGACAATTGAAAGGATTGAAAAGTTGTTTAATGAATTTAGATGAGTCGGTAGTGCAGAGAAACACTGTTAACTTTGGTTTCCCAAAAGGGTGATAAAGTAAATTTATGATCATAAAGAGTTTCTCTAAGACTTTTTCCCTAATGCCCCCTAGTTCGGATCACCTTACAAGTACAAATATTTTAATAATTACCAAAGTTTAAATAACGAAATTGAATACAATACCAGCCCAATGAAAGGAAAGAGTATCCATTGATGACGTTTCCGTCCTTAAGATAGCAACAGATAACTCAACTGGATGTTTCATCGCATAAGTTGACAAATTCCGCCCGTCCATTTTATGGACACTTGAAAATGACTATGACCATGAAATGACTATGACTATTCTCTGGAAATGACTATGATAAATATCAAGTATGAATTTTAAAGTAAGTAGAACCGTTTACAACTTTCAAGTGTTAAGAAACTTAAAAGTATAACGGCATTGGTTTAAGGTATCCAGTTAATATTGAGGGAGTTTGTGACCGAATAGGGTCTGGGGCCCGTTTCTCGAAAGTTTAGGTTACTTTTCGGGCTCGGGAAGCTGTTTTATGTCTGCCTCGTTGGCATTCAAGATCAAAGTTTCAACTGTTTTGAAAATGATACTATGAAACTATTAGTCAACGAAGCAAAATTGACCTGTTTGGAAATAGCCTACCATTCAATAGGTTTTGATTTTAAAATTTGCCTTTGGGCCCGAAAAGTTACCGGGCCTTTCGAGAAAAGGACCTTAGGGCACATAAAGTAAAAACGTCTGTTCTCGATGGGGTAAGGGATCAAAGAATGAGAAAGCGTTTACAGATCTCGTCGGCTGGACACCTTGTTAAGTCGGTGCGACGAAGGCATATAATCATTCTAGGGCTGGGAATTATGTTTTTGATTAGGTGGCAGATCCGAATCTTTGCCCGATAGATTCTTTTGACGGTGCGGACAGGAGGCGGTGGGAACTCCTGAAGGTTTGCCGGCTCGAATTTTTCTTGGAAGTCTGCTTTCCTCATCTGCAGTTGTCCTTTTGGTCTCACAGCTCTTGGCGCCCTTCAAGATGGTTAAACGCTTCCTCCCATGTGTCATGGTCAATAACTACGACGACTGTTTTTAGATTGTCCTTGGTGCCTTTCAAGCCTCCTTGGGAGCGAGTACCATAAAGAAAACTCTTTGGTAGACGTGGTGTTTTAGCTTGCGACCGGCGTGATCCAGCTGCTCAGCGCAGCTTTGTCTGCTTCATTGATGCTGGGGACTTTCGCTCGGCTAAGGACCTCAGGACCTCTCTGTTTTTCCACCTGATGACAGCAACAACCTTTAATTTTTACCTAGCGATTTGCAGTTTATTATAAAATAAATTTAATATACTATAAATAGACTGTACAGCTATATAGGCTGCACTTACTAACCTTAGAGGGCTAATGAAGATAGGGTAGTCGTCGGTGTATTTATGATAGTAGACAGGACAGGATAATGGTCCTTATTATTATCATTATCAGGAAATATGGAGCCTCCTGAGTTGCCATGCCGTTTTCATGCATACAAACCCATGTGGCACACGATGACTGAGAGTATCAGTGCTGTTCCTCAGTAATCAACTTTTTTTCTCTGGAGTAATCCTGTATAGTTTCTCATTGGCAAACCTGCTATAAATAAAGGTCGAAGGCTTTTTTATGCCTGAAACTTGTCTTGGAGCTGCCTGGCGTCAGAAAAAGTGTCGCTCTTTTCTGAAAGTACCCTACAAGTTCTCAATATGGCTGGTGAGACGAGTAAGGAGAATCTCCTGCCAGGATCGTCCCCTAGAGGTCAACAGATAAATGCTTATTTTTCCACCAAACCACGTAATCGATTATTAATCTGTCTTGGCCAATTGATTTTTAGTTTCATTTTATTCAGTTTCAGTTTATTTCACCACAAAAAAAATACAAAACAAAAACAAAGGACAAGAATACAGGAATTCACAGAAGAAATGTGGTGAGGGAAACCATAAAACTTATAGCCTGATATTGGGCTCCCTCAGAGTAAAAGCGTTTACTGAGTATTTAAATGACATTGACAAAAAGGTAAATATGTACGATTAGTATATACGCACTCAGTGATTTTGGTAATTCAAGCAATCTGATTGGTTAGCTATCTCGGACTATGACGTTTTAGTATATACTAAAACAGTGGATAGTGTTTTTCGGGCGCTCTGATTGGCTACTCAATCAGTGAATATCCTGCACTATTCACTGATTCACCTCCAGTTCCTCCGAACGGGCGACGCCAAGCTCGCGTAGGTTGCGAGCAAAATGCTTTCCCGGTTTGCTGCCATAACAAACTAAGAAATTTCACAACTAATCAAGCAAGCTATTTCCGAAATACATGAAGAAGGTGACGAAGTTCGGTTTGGAAGTTTTAACAGGTGAAGCTTTGTCTTTTTTACTTGAATAGTTATCGATAAAACCGGTGAAAACTTTTTTGTTTACAAGTGCAAATTAACCTTAAGTCTTGCGTTACTTTATTTAGTTGACTTGTTCATAAATAAGCTTAAAACTAAATTTAATAATCTTTTTGACAGAATTATTTTAAATACAAACAGAATTCACAACTCCTTTTGAAGAAACTTCCCCGCAAGAGCTAAACAAACGCCTTCAAAAGTTTTATTTGTCACTAAGAAAAAGCGACGGCCGCGGCCGTTTGGTCATCGCGCGCCAAAATTGTAATCGTTGGCAACAGTAAATGAGTTAAAAATCATCATTTGTGCTCAATTATCTCACCGTTTTAGTATATACTAAAACAATTATTCACCTCTGTGTTGGTGGCTAGTAGTGGATATTTACCTCTCCGCTTCGCGGCCTCGTTAAATATCCAATACTAGCCACCTCCACTTCGGTGAATAATTGTTATATATTAACCGCGCTAGGCGGTGAATATGAAGCAGAACAAAATCGCTGTTGTGAACTGGGTGTTTTGCCAAAGTTTCATAGTAAAGCCTTTTTGACTTCATGGTGTTTAAACAGCATGATTTATTGTGAAGTGGTTTACCGTAGCTGACTTTTTGTAAGCTCGAAGCGCTTTTTACCACTGCAGAGGAAAACGACGTCGCTTTGTCATTGTTTTTTGATTTCTGGATTCTCTCTCAAGACCAATTTTGCCTATAAATAGAAGTTAATTTATGGAGAAAAGAGGAAGGCAAATATTGGCGAAAATTGCACGTTCTAGCAAGTGAACAAGGCAAAAAACATTTGAGATAAACAGCGCTCACCCTGGTC